TAACTATCCAAACGCCTGCCATTTGAAATAAATAAATAAAAATATCCAAGCTGATAATTAGGCGACCTAGTATGTCAGATGGCGGGTTTTACGGTAGTTATTATTAGTCTTGAGCTAACTTCGGGCTTCACAGAGAGAAGGAGCCTCAAAGTCACAAAGAGTTGAGAGTGGGGAACAGAAGAGTGATTCACAAATGTTAAAGAGCAGACAGACGCAATGGTAGAGAAAAAGGTAAGGAGAGTACTGTGGAAGTGGTGGAAGATGACATACATCATGGTAGTTTGCAGCCAACTGGTGGTTTATAGACTCTTTTGCCAAGTGGCAGTAAGTACATCGCACACCCCACTGGACTCAAAAAGCAGTATTAACGTCCACTCTGGCATGCACTTGGTGAATTATCTACTTAATGGCGTAAAGTAACAATTTCGAACTCTAAATAAAGTAAGTAAAGTGGCGTAAGTTCAGTTCTATTGGGTAATAATTTTCTATACTATTGTGAATAATTGTACTTATTGTTTTTTAATGAAGAACGGATTTATTTGTAGCTCCATTATTACACATTTCTTATACCCGCTCAGAGCTGTTCAATGCCCAAAAACAACGTCTGAAATTGAGTGTTCAAATAGCGGTTGGCAACAGCACTATCACCTTCATGTTAGAAGAGCATTTAGTTGAGAAGCGTTCATATTCCCGGTTTCAAAACAAAAATATTTTAAAAAATACGTGAAACCGCAAAATGAAATAAGTGAATTTCCCGAACAGTTAATGTCCGTGCCAGGAGAAATGGTGACTATCAGATTAATTGCTCTAGAAACTGCAAACCATTTAAAAAACACTGATTAGCGAATTCGATTTAAACTGAGACTTGCTCCACAATTTCGTGCACATCTCCCGGGAAACATTACATGCTATCACATTTTAATAATAAGTGAAAGAATCAGCATGAAAGTCCCAATCTTCCTAAATTTACCTCCCAAAATTCACAGATCAGATGCCTATCACCGAAATTAAATAAGATTTGTGTTTAGTGGCTGATAAACGGCATTGCCTATACAGTTAGAGCATGACAGTTAATAATATTAAAATTTGATGACTGCAACCACGCAATATGGCATTAATAATTTCGAGGTGATATCGCCCTTAAAATAAAATGGCGCATACAAAAAATGAACTATTCTATGCAATTAAATTAGAACAGTTATTTATTTAAAAGGCAAGGGGGGACGTGAAAAGGGCACAATAGGTTTCAATTAAATGATTCATTTACTACAAATATTAAAATAAATCAACTACCCATAATGCAATAAGTAGTACAATATATATATGTGAAAGTCTAATGATTTCAGCATGATGCACCTTGAATCAGGTGAATACTAAATGCCCTATTAATCTTCTAAACTGTGCTCATTTTCCCTTTTTGATCCTCAAAAGATAAGCTTTGTAAAAATTTCACCGAGCCTATATGATTCCAATTCATATTCATTCACTGTTCGCATCCAGTTCTGAGTGTTGTGAAAAATATTAAGAAGAAAGGCAATTTTGACAATTGGCTTCACTAAAATTTGCATATTTAATCACATAAATATCAAAAGAATAGATCAGAGCTAATATATACATTATTACAGACCAAATCAACAACAAGAGTCTTGAACTCAATTTATCGACGAAATCCACCAAACGATGGCATTTCAAATCCAAATCCAGACTTTTTCTTTTGGGCCGACAACTTCTCCATCTCTTCCTTCTTCTTTGCCTGAGCCTCCTATGATGAGAAAGAGAAAATTAGGTCAGTAAAAATGGAGATAAAGCTCTGAGAGAAGTGATTGGAGGAGGGGACTAACCATGAGCTGTTCATGCTTCTCTTTGAAAGCAGCCAAAGGATCGTCAAACTGATGATAATGATCAAGCACCGGACGAACATCTTCAACACCACTCATTGCGATCACTAGCGGACGAAAAGTCAATACCAATAATTGTCTAATCGAAAACAAAAGTCCGACCAGGTCATTAAACTTACTACGAAGGAAAGCAGCTAAGTCGATAAGTTCTCGATCCGAGTCTTCGCCTTTCCAACGTTTGATGATGAAGGCGTTTCGAGACTGCAAGGAGGCCGCGTCGGGATTCCAGTCGATGAGAATAACGCGAGAGAGATCTCGATTCAAGCAGGAGAGATCCTTGATGTGCTTGCCTTTGCGATAGCGAGTCGATTCTCGGAAAAGACGGTAGTGGATATATTGGCCCTTAGGGTCGATTTGGGCCATCACAGGCATACCCGTCTAATGAGCAAAAATACGTCCATAAGTCGATTAGAAAAGAAAATCAACACCTTCCAGTTCATACAAGTGTTTTTTTGACATTTAGAATAGACAAATGAGCTGAGAAAACACGTGAACTGGAGATCATAATTTGTAATTTAAACTCTGAAACTTCAGGATGTAAAATATTCCTCTTCACTAGATTATGAAGCATTTCAGCATTTACCTCCACAGTGAATAGTGACATTGCAAAGTGTATATAAGCAGTGTAAATAAGAGAGAATTTATATTCACATTCCCTTATTCAAGTTAATGTGACATTAGTCACTATTGTAAGCCTATATAATTTATGCAAGCTCAGTATAAAATACTCAAAAAAAAAATTACGTCCAGTGGCGTAATAAACTAAAAGTGATTACATCGCTATTTCTTATTTAAAAACCGTCATATATCCGACATAGATTTCTACCGCCCAGATAGCAATTAATAACATCAAAGGCACACGAGGTAACAAATATGCACGATTCGATTTGAACGAATAAAATCAAAGAAAACTAAAAGCTATAGAACGAGATAAACTAAGTTAAATACTGAAATTAATGATAGCATTATAAATAATAATACCTTGGTGATTAGCACAGCAAATGAAAAAAATTAACTACTTACCATTGCAGAATCCTGAGTGAAAGCGACCACTTCATAGAAGGGAGAAAGCTGCTGTAGGAACAGCTCCAAAGCCGGCCGTTTCTTGAATCGCCAACCTGTTCTGAACTACATCACGATTTGCATCAATAAATAAATTCCAATTTGATACCTTCCAATCTGGGTGAACGAGAACATCATTGATTTCAAATACGAGAGTGTAGGGAGGTTGATAATAAGGCGGTTCAGCAGGATCAGGAAGGAGTTTTTCACTTATTGGGTCTCGAATACTCTAAAATCGATCATCAAACTGAATTAATAAACTAAACCTGGTTAAAGTCCCACATAGCTTGCCATGCACGGAGTGTATAACCCTTCCAGGTAGGAACTGAATAGATACGTAAATTAAAACGACAAACATACGACGTGAAAATTCATCCATAATCTAAAAAAGAATGTGTAATGCAAAATAGACGTTACCTCTATCCCATTTTCATCCTTTCCGGGTGGTCCTAATTATATAAGTGTAAATGAATATTGTAATAACAAACCCCATTGAGCAATACCGAAGCCAATAGCAAAAGCCATTGACGCTCCTAAACTCAAAGCTCCCAATTTCCAAGCATTTTTTCCAGACCATGGGCCACTCTTCTGATCTTGGTTGTCTGAATTTCCATCATTTTTATTCATTTCAGGGAGTGAATCAATGACACCAGTAGCAAAATATCGACCGCGCTTAATGAATAGGGCGTTTGCATTTGAGTACGCAAGTTGTCTAATTGGACACTTAATTAGACATGAAAGCGTGTTTAACGCGGAAAACATTTGAAGAGATAAAGTGGCGGTGCCTTCAGCTTTCAACCAATAAATAATTAGATCATCTTTTCAAGGTCGAAGAACACGAGTTAGCGTCTAAAATTTACAAGTTTAGCATTCATCAGGCCGTCAGATATCCAAAATCAAACATTCATAATGTTTGTTGTGTGGTCAACTATGAAAAATTAGGAGACGACGTAGTTATCCTATTCAAATTAATTATTTGTATGTAATGATATATTTTAGCAAAAATTTTCTTTAAAAGGCGTTCTTTAACTGATCACATTTTTATATAAGGTAATACTTTGTGGTTCTGACAAGGGAGAATGAAATTTAGATTACCAATAGCTCAAAGCTTTAACTAGATTTCCCTTAACATACATAAAAGCATTACAGTTTTCAATTGTAGACAGTTAGTTATTTCCTTCAACTGGATATCACCTAATCACCGAAATGTTTATCTTAAAAGGGTCATTTTTCCTGAATTATACTGTATTAATGAGTAGAGAGAAATCGTCGAATTCTCTGTGGAATTAAGTTGAGGAAGAGTATGAAAATGTCCTCAGTATTCAATTATACCTTTTACCAGATAACTCAGGCAATATTTCGGTGATGTGATGATTTCTGTTATCAACTAAGGTAAATGATAGTTTGATTCATAAACTCAAATTATAAATTGTAATCTATTGGGTGGGCAACTAAGTCATTACCGTTTTTGTTGACAGATTCAGTCTATACTTTCTTTTGTTTGGTTAACGTGACCAGAGCATCTAACCTATATTTTTTCTTACTGAATGAGCTTCTAGGTTAATTAGTAAAAAATTTTTTTGTTTTGTTCTTTAGTTTTGTTTTTATCCCAATTTAAAAATGAAAAACAGGACGTGCACTTCCGACATATTTTATCGTATTACTTCCGAAAAGGCAAGAACGTATCGCGAGCACAAAAGAAGTTATGTGCCGTATATGGAGATGAAGCCTTAAAAGAAAGGCAGTGTCGAAATTGGTTTGAAAGATTTCGTTCCGGTGATTTTTCACTGAAAAATTCACAACTATCTGGCCGCCCAGTCGAAGTGGATGAAACCCATATCAAGGCCATTATCGATTCAAATCGTCACAGCACAACACGAGATATTGCAGAGAAGCTCAATGTGTCGCATACATGCATTGAAAAAACATTAAAAACCCTTGGTTATGTCAAGAAACTTGATTTATGGATCCCTCACCAGTTAAAGGAAATTCATTTGACACAACGGATTAGCATCTGTGATTCGCCGCTACTGAAACGCAATGAGAATGATCCATTTCTGAAGAACCTAGTTACTGGTGACGAAAAGTGGATAGTTTATAACAATGTTACTCGCAAGAGATCATGGGTGAAGCAAGATCAACCAGCCCAAACAGTATCAAAAGCAGAGATTCACCAAAAAAAGATTATGCTGTCAGTGTGGTGGGATCACAAAGGAATTTTGTATTTTGAACTAATGCCGCAGAACCAAACGATAAATTCAAATGTGTATGTTGAAGAAGTCGAAAAACTGAAGGATGCAATTGAAGATAAGTGGCCGGCATTATCAAATCGGCGGAAGGGTGTTGTTTTCTATCATGATAACGCAAGGCCCCACACATCTTTGGTTACTCGGCAAAAATGATTGGAACTGGGTTGGGATGTTTTGTCACACCCACCATATAGCCCTCACCTTGCGCCTTCGGATTACCATTTGTTTCGTTCCATGCAAAACTCTTTAAATGGTCAAATTTTAACAACGCGGATGATGTCGGATCACACCTAATTCAGTTTTTTAATAGCAAAGACCAGACATTTTACGAACGGGGAATTCGTACTCTGCCAGAACGATGGAAAAAGGTCATCAACAAGAACGGCCAATATCTAATTGAATAAAGTAATATTTTTAAACAAAAATTCCGAATTTGCCTTCTTATTTGAAATCGGCAATGACTTAGTTGCCAACCTAATAGTTGAGATTTGTTAAGTTTTTAAGCATCTATTATGTGTATGCGATGTAGGGGTTTTCAGAAAGTATGATCTCACAAGCCTATTAAACCAGAAAACATTACCTACATCAAATTTAATATTAGTCAATAGCATTTATAATATTTCAATTTATTTCTATCAAAGACATGATAAGAGGAAGTCACGACATTAGTTAATTTATAATAGTATTTATTTACATTTCTTCGTGACTTTACCGCGCTGAGCTGGCAAAAGTTGACAGAAGACATGTTAGCAATAGTGTGCCCAAAATTTGACTAACAGAAATTGAAGTAAGATTAAAACAATAAGGAAACCCCTTATTCGCTTAGAAGAAAGCTTTCGAAGTCAATTCAACATGATTGCTGTACTATCAAAAATTGGCAAACTTTTAGCATGCTATCGTTATTCTGGGATAAGGGATTTATTCTCGAAAACTACCCTTTTTTGCTTTATTGGATAAACATGCTCAGTTATTGCGATTACTTACTTCCCGTGTAGGGCACTGAAATAAACTCTATTCTGGGATATGGTGAGAGTTATCTAAAATAATATACTAAAAAAAAATGATGGACTGAAGGTACATTTTCACCATACATAAAAAATTCGGCAAAATCATTAATGTTCATTATCATTCAAATTTATTTCATGAAATAAGTTCAAACTTAAAGAAATTCAACATTAATTCGATCGTCAAAGTAAATCCTGAATATGTTTCTTCCTTCTTCTCATTTTATATTTCTCACTATTTATTGTCGTATAAAATGTCATTTTTTAAGTTTTAACAACAAACACGTGAATTTTTCTAACCCTTTTAGTAACTTATTTTAGATTCGCATAAACTTTTCGCGGCTCTATGGGAATAGTTCTTGAGAATTAACGTCCGTGAGGCCTTGAGTTTGAGGTTAGCAGAAGTTAGCCTTTATATTATGTTGAACGCTTTATTTATTTGTTTGTATTTCATGATTTAGTGTATTACTTTAGACTGGAGTGCTATTAATCTTAAAGAGTTCGAAATAAAGACATGAGTACGTTGTCAATTTTCAAATTCATCTAAGTGTGTTACTTTTAAGTACCTAAATGTTTATCCTTCTTTCCTTTAGATAATTCGGTTTCTAACAAAATTCCAAACCCAGTCAATACACAAGAGTATAAAATTGGCCCATGGCTTGTAAAGACTGCACAGAATCACATTCTTAATTCGGTAGGGCGTGATCGGGAGGTATTAAAATTTTGTATTCTAAGTCATTTCGTTTTAAGTTATTTGAATCAAGTCTTAAATTGCCATCTACTCCTGAGATGATATGGGCTGATAATCGTGTGGTTATTTCTCTTAATGACGGCGAACATAAGTCGACATTTGAATTTAATGCGCTAGACGCCCTGAAGAAAGTTGACACTGAGAGAGTGTTTTTCAAGATCCCAGCAGCTGAAGAATGGATGAATTCAAAGAATGGGGAGTTTTCTAGTGCCAAGCCGTATGATTGGACATTTTCTACGACTTATGACGGTACCCTAACTGGTAAGCTTATAATTAGCGGCCTTTTTATATCATAGAGGTCAATAGGTATCTATCTACTGAATACCTTTTTTTTCTTTTTTTACATTTATATCTTGTTACGATCCCATGTGATAATGCTCCTTATTCCTTTCCCTCCCATTCCAATAAATGTTTTGATTGATTAAGTTTGGTATATAAAGCCGCCTCAAACAGCAGACGCTAGCCCTCCTCCCCATCACTGTCAATTCTTAATGAGAATGTCGAGCAATCTCTTGCATTTACGCTTTCAGCTAAACCCGTATTAGTCTTGGTTTTTGTGTCACTTTATGCTAATAGATTATGGGAAGGAAGTTAAATGGTAGAGTTGCCTAAAAATTGGATATCTGTAGTCTTCGTTCTCTCTTTACTAAGAAGGGAAATATGTGAATGTACTTAATGTCGGAGTGATTGTCTATATAATCCCGGAAACATGTGGAAATTTCCCAAGTCCAGTTGATGATTGTGGGTGTCTTGATTTCTAACCTTCCACACAAATGATCCCGTATTTGTTATCTTTGTATCTGTTAAATGGTCCGAGTGTCTTCGTTAAACGATAGTATAAATTTGGCTATATCAGACTACTTCTTTTAAGAAAATCTTTTTTTATCATTTTACTAATTTCTTCGACTAATACCTACTTGACTGCAAGAACTTTTTTGTTGGAGATCGAGGAATTGTCGTCTACTTGCACCTTTTTTAGGCAACTGGACTAGTGAGCCAACAGATGAGGGACTCGATCAAGTTTTCATTCGTTCCCATGATCCAATACTTCTCTACGGAAGCATTGACCTTTTTGAGGATGAGTTGGGTGACAATGGCATCGCTCTGTTGAATGTGAAGATTCGAGTTATGTCCTCGGGTTTCTTCATCCTTCAACGTTTCTTCCTTCGAATTGATGGAAGTCTGTTGAGAGTGTGGGATACGCGATTGCAGTGGAGACTTGGTGATGAGTAAGTCAGGACAAGTAGTGGCAATGAAATATTTCTTTAGTAGTCACCTTTGTTAGGAAACTCATACCACTACCTTCTATTGATCCGATGTTATTAATGCGAGTAGTTACTTCTTTCTATGGGGTATCGAACTCACTACTTTACGGGCATGCACGTCGTACGGTATACTCTCTTTTTTGCTTGAGATGGTTAAAATGACCAATTGCGATGGTTGAATGATTCAAGATATCATTTCTTTTCTTAATGCTTGCTCTAGATGACATTTCTCTCCAAAATTTTGCGTATTATAATAAGTGTGTTAAATGTCAGGTCGGTTCTCTTTGCCTAATGCTTATAACCAGGCTGGACTCCTATTGATTTTGAAGAGACATCAAAGTGTCCCAAACTAAACTTTGACTCTAGGAGCTTGGCAAATGCTGGGATCTCTTAAGCAGCCGCCACCCACTTGGAAAATCTAATAAAAAATAGACTGGGATGTTTTATTGCCCCAAGTGAACCGAGCTGTTGATTGACTTAAATAACTCGTATTTTGAATAGTTAGCTTCCACTTCATCATTTAACTTCATTACTTTTAATCAATATCAATATTCAAGGGGAAGCATTTGCACCTATCTGTACAGCATTATAAGCTGGAAACTTCAAGGACGATGTGATATAGAGTTGAACTGGAATACTATGAAATGCATATATTCCTCCATTGGATCGTAACAATTTGTTTTTTCCGTCATAGATATATTCTCCGAGAGGTTAAAAGAATGGACAGTGAGAAATGGCTTCCTTCTATGGTTGGTATTGATTCCAATGATGCGTCCTCCTACTGTACTTGCATTGTGGAACATCGATTTGAGAAACTCTATCCAGGAACTCATCTGAATAAGCCCCTCTAATCCCTTTCTAATTTATCCTCACTCGGCAATCCACTTCCTGGTTTCTATTTGTGTGTGTACATGGTTTTGATGTAGATGATTTTGGCTATCGTGTATATTTCGTTAAATAAAAGTCATATACCTCATGACACTATATATATACATAAAAGACGATTTCTAATGTATCCTTTCTCTCGAATTTATCACGTCTGGATCAATGAGGCTTGTAAATATAAACCAAGGTTGGTCCTAACATCTAGCAAGTGAAGCCCGTTACCCAGTTAATCTTGAGTCATTGGATATGTAGCGAACCAATTCGTTGCATTTCCTTCGAATAAAACTTTCCACATCTATTTTGGTAGATATTTTATGAAGAGTCAGACGATCTTTGCATTCACTTCGTCACCTGAGGCCCTGCGTCACCCATGGCCTGAAATCAAGTGACCTGATCCGCGAAGTGCAATATTTATATCAAATGGCAGGCGTTTTGATGATTATCAATAGCCCTTTAGTTGACTTCAGGCTCCACAGAGGGGAAGGAACATCAAAGTGAAAAAAAGTCGAGAGGAGGGGGGGGGGGGATAGTTTGAGGTGCGAAGTCAACTGCCGTTTAATAGACTTTTTTGCCGTATTAGTATAGGTTGCCCAGGGTGCACCACGAGGAGGTAAGTCTATCGCACACCCCACGAAGTGCAATATTTTTCACTGGCTGTGGCCTGAGTGCTTGCAATAGTGGAACCCACAACTTGTCCTTTTCCGACTCCAAACTCTTTAAATACTGTGAAGCCACAAATCATTCCTCGGCACCTTCGCTAACGACCAGCTACATAGGCAGCAACCTATCTCTTCCGGTTCACTTGCTCAGCATACCCCCGCCCCCCCCACCCTCCTGACAACAGTTCACGCGATATTCAGAGGCTTTTCTATCTTGTTTGCGACTGTCCCAACACCAAGAGCTTCCACTATCTGAATCTGTTAATAGCTACAAGAACACGACTCCAGGTAAAAGCAAAAGACACCAGGTGGTTGCACATCCTAGATTGGCAAAGGTTTTCTTTTCTCAATCAACTGAACAACAGTCACCTACAATCATTCAATCATGAATAACGATACAAATAAGTGGGGGGGGGGGGGGGGGGGGGGGGGAGGGGGTGGGAAGAGAGGAAGTCATCTTAATAAGCAGCCGGTGTTTTTAGTTAAGGACACACGTCATGTGAGCGCGTCAGCACCAAAATGACGCTTCCGGTGGTGGAATAGTTCATCCCAAAAACCTAAACCAGCCTGGCCAGTATATGAAATCCGAAGTCATAAAATAATATAGGCAGAATCCCAGAGCATAACCGAAGAGGATATCACCCAAATGGTGCCGACGCATAACAAGCCGAGATGCGCAGACCATGACAGCCCAGATGGTGATTAAAAGACGAGATGACCATGAGAAATTGAAGAGCCATGGAAGAAGCCATTGTAGCAACGCCGCTCGGCTGGAATGACCTGTCTCAAGAGAATAGAGTCATTTAAGGAATCATTCACACTGTATTTGTGGCGATTTCCCTAATTTAAGCAACGTTTGCACACTGCCTTTAATATAGGACAGATAGTGTGTGTTCAAGAAAACCAAACATATTATAGCACTCCCGAATTTGCTAAAGTTAGGTAGATTGGACCTATGGGAAAGGTCTTTAGATATTCCAGTTAGAATTTTAAAAGCGCTGACGTTTGTTGCTTGATGCCTCGAATCCTATTCATTTAAAATAAATAAATTATTAGTCTTCGATTAAACATCTAGACATCTCAACTCCCTTCACTTTTTCCGTCAGTTTGTCCTTCCACATTATTCTGACGCTTGAATTTATTGCCCCCACAATACTAGTCCACAATAGCATATAGATTGAGCCTGTGTATCCTCACCTGAGGGAAAAGACCAGTCGTCAATAGATACAGTGAGTAGCATATCTTCGGAGCAGTTCGCCTCAGGTCTCGGTCGCTTGACAAGAAATTTGAGACAACCCACAATGAGAACATCAAGAATGAGGGAAAAGAGGAGGCACGCGGCCCGCCATCCGTAGAAATTTCGAGGAGACCGCGGAGGGGCCACATAGGGATCAACAATAAAATCGGAGGGTACTTCACTAGGAGGTGGTCCAATGTTGCTAATTAGAAGTCCCAGGATCCATCCACCGGAAAATATGAACCAGGGTACTCCGTGACAGGACCACTCTAGCACTAAGCCTATACATCGCGGTGAGGGGAGCATTGGTTGGAGAGGAGATCTAAATGTATCAGCAATAAAAATGAAGGAGAGAATGTTAGGTAATTCGTAACAGAAGAGATGAATATCGATAGTAGGCAAACGATCCGAAGTCAAAATTTACATGCATCTTTGAAGATGCCACTGGGGGTTGACCCACGTTTAAACTGTGGACATATTGAAGACACGAGTTAGAAACCCAATGAAATGATTGATCTTACCGGTGTAAAAGGGATTGATGGAATACAAGCTTCCAAACACTATATGGCTTTTTATGCCTTGCCTAAGACAAGCTTGCAAAAGCAACTTCATTCAATAGACGCATAAAATGTTGAACTATTGATAGGTTAAACGACATAGCGCACTGGCGTATAACAAACTATTGTAAGATAGCATAGGCCAAGCATACAAAACAAAAGGCATATACATTAAAGGAAAAAGGTAAATTTGTCACAAAGTGTCATTTATTCGATTACTATGTAAACTACCATCTCGACAGGAAGGGATAGACAAGAATATGTATACATAAAAAGACCATAATATGTGAACGAGGGGGGGGGGCTATAAAATGGCGCGCTTTCTGAGAAGAAATGTACCGCTTCTCTCCAACGCGGACATAATTGCCTACTCCTCCTCCTCCTCCTCAGATGGGCCAGAGGTTGACTCCTGTTGATCAAGTCTGTTTGAGGCTTCAAAATATTGCAGCATATGCTCTGGGAGAGGATCTCGACCTCTGAATGCCTTGAACACATCGCGGCAGGATAGAGCTGTGCCTGGATCAAGCACTGTTCGTCGGTACTTGAGGAATAAATCCTTCACCTATTGAGATGAAAAAAAGTTGCCTATAATAGAATTAGCAAATATCCTTACAAATATCCGTTGATTAGTTGTGTTAGAAATCGATCATGTGAAAAGCTACCTCTGAGGGACGATAAGTTGAGTATTACTGACCCTTCTCTCTGTTGTCAACTGTATCCCAATTGCCCAACCGAACACCTGTGATTCATACAGTATAATACGATGATTGGTAGCCTTAGTCACAAGTAGTAGGTTCGACTACATCGACTACAGAAAGCACTGGTTCTCATTCAACCACTTAAGATATAGTACTTTGAGCCTGGTTAGTACTTGAGTGGATGTCCGGTTGAAAACACTTTGTGCATCCGTGGCCCAGTGGTCAACGCGAATATCAAAACAGAGGTCATTCAATCGATTTTAATGCGTCTATGCCCATAAGCATAGAAGGGGTAACATCTTCTGACCGGTTCCTAATCAGAATGACACCAGTACCCATGGAGAGAAATTGGTCTGTGAAGACTTTCCTTAATACGGGGTGTGCGATAGACTTACCTCTACGTGGTTCACCCTGGGCAACCTATACTCATACGGCAAAAAAGTCTATTAACTGGGAGTTGACTTCTGACTCCAAACTACCCTCAACCCATTGTATGTCATATTCGACTACTTCCACAGTACTCACCTCACCTTTTCCACTTTTGTGTCTGTCTCTTTTACATCTTTGAAACTCTCTTCCGTTCCCCCTCTCCCTATCGACTTGTTTCACTTTGATGTTCCTCCTTTCCCTCTGTGAAGCCTGAAGTCAACTAAAGGGCTAATGATAACTTTCGCAACGCCTGCCATTTGATATAAATAAATAACTTTCCCCAATACGCTTAAACATACAAGTTCTAAATAGGAATTGTATCACAATTCAATCTTTTGAACTTCACACTTCATTTGCCGACTCTAGCTAAAGAATTCACTGCAAATTCATCGGTTCAGACTAAAGCACACAAGCTAGATTCAGTCGTGGAAGAGGGTGGGGGGATAGATATTCGAATTATGCTTAAATAATTACTGAAAGTAAAGAAATGGAGACTTCCCTAATCTCACATAAGCCAAAGATGGTACGGTTGCTACGTGCCCCAAAGCAGCTTCTCAACTCTTGGTAACTAAAGTATGTATCCTATCTATTTCGCTGGTAATTTTTTAACAAATGAACAATGAAAATCGTGAGGAGCACTGAGATGAGGATTTGAGGTATTAAGTCAAGATGCCGTAGCTGAATTGGAACCCCTTGCCCCCCCCCCTTCCCCACCTCGATATGGAACTATAACCGATTATGTGACCATGATATGTGAAGTTAATAGTCAACTTAACCAAAAAAACAGATAAAAGACGTGATTGCGCATTTCCGGCCAAGTCGGTTGCCAAAAAGTTATTTTAAAACAAAAAATGAAGAAGTTTCTTTTACCAAAGTCTAAATAGAAAGCTGGGTGGGAGGTAACTGAAAGTAGCGCTATCCAACAGCTCAATTAAAAGATATTAGGCGGTTGAGGTAACCAAAAGTCAATGCGAAGCACTACAAAGAAACCGCTCAGAAGACAGCAGGAGAAATAAAAGTGTTCCTATCCAAACAAACTAGACTAACGTGTTAGTGCGGTCTAGATCTCACCTTTTCTGAGTTGTGATCTCGATGGATACCAGCCTCAGTGAAGGCAGAGAAGCAGTCAAAAGCAATAATCTGTCTCCAAATCTCAGAGTACCTCAAACCAGGAATTCCATTAGCTCCAAATATTCCCAAAGCGGAGCACGCCCACTGATCATCCGGATGTTTGGGATATGGTAAATGGGTGTTCCAAATCGGTTCTGACAGTAGCTGCCACTTCTTCCAGCTGGATTTTCTACCTCCCCACAGCTCCAAATCGAATCGAGATTCATAGAGAATTTTGAGAAGGGGCAGGGCTATGATTTGGTTGATTCCGTTCGCAGGATTGGGGGTATTATGTGGCAATTCGTCGAAGGACAGAGCCCTACCATAAATGGCACGTCGTAGAGGCAGTGAATGCAAGAGAAGGAGTTTTAGAAGGTCCCGAGTTAAGGAATCATTGTCACGGATTGGAATGCCCGATGTGGAACCAGCGAAACTGATTCCGGGGAGAGGAGTAGTTAGGCCCGCATAGGAGTATGAGGGGGTTCTACTCACTATGTGTTGAAGACAGTTGCCAAATGCAGACGAGATGTCCATAGCTTCCTGTAAGGGTGTGAAGACAAATTAATACGTGACCAATAACAACGCAATTAGTAGTATGTGCTCACATTTGATTGGCCAACAGCAGACTAACACGCTAATAAGGCATATAGATGCGGTGGTGCTAGCAGCACATTTTTAAGGCACTACAAAAGTATCGAAGTTCAAAAGTACCAAAGCATTTCTCACCTCAATAATAGATATTCTCTTACCCTCAGTCAGATGAGT